CCAAATCTCTTGGAATAGCTGAGTGAGTGCCTCCAACATGGCATCCATTTGTTGAAATATCTCAATGGGTATTCTGTCAACTCCTGGAGCCTTGTTTTTCGCCACTTCCTTCAGTGCAGCTTCAACTTGTTCCTTCGATACCATTGGTTCTTGATTATATGCCACCTCCCAAAATGGATGAACATCGACCAATTCTTTATGGTGCAGTGACTCTGTGTATTCCTTCCATCTTCTTCTGATGCTTCCTGCATCATTCGATATTTTGCCCATACAGAAAACCAAACCAAACTCACTGCTGTCGAGTTGGATCTGACTCATAGTGACCCCTCCTTGGGTTTCTGAGGCAGTATCACTATGGAAGTAGATTGCCCAAACTTCCTGCCTTGGAAACCCAGGCAGTATCACTACAGAAGTAGATTGCCCAACTTTTCTTCCATGGAAGGAAGGTTGGGCAATGTACTTCTGTAGTGATACTGCCTCAGAAACCCAAGGAAGGGTCGCTTTATTGCAATGCAAGGCTTAAATTTTTTCTTCAGTTCTTTAGCTTGAGAAATGCTGAGTGTATTCTTCCCTTTCGGTTTTCTAACTCCATTTCTTTGCACATTTCATTACAGTAATTGGCTTTGTCTGCTCGAGCTGCTCCTTGAAATCTTCTGTTCAGCTCTTTTATCTTGTCATTTCTTTCATTTGCTTTAGCTACTCTCTGCTCAAGGGCAAGTTTCAGAGTCTATTCTGTCATCCATTTTTGTCTTTTCTTCCTTTCTTGTCTATTTAATGACCTCTTGCTTTCTTCATGGATGATGTTCTTAATGTCATCCCATAATTATTCTGGCTTTCAGTTATTGGTGTTCAGTGCATCAAATCTATTCTTTAGATGGTCTCCAAATTCAGGAGGGATATATTCAAGGTCATATTTTGGCTCTCATGGACTTCTTTCAATTGTCTTCAACTTCAAGTTGAACTTGCATATGAGCAGTTGATGGTCTGTTCCACAATCAGCTCCTGGCCTTGTTTTGGCTGAAGATATTGAGCTTTTCCATTGCCTCTTGCCACAGATGTAGTCAATCTGATTCCTGTGTACTCCATCTGGCGAAGTCCACATGTATAACCACCATTTGTGTTGTTGAAAAAAGATATTTGTAATGAATAAGTCGTTGGTCTTGCAAAACTCTATTATGTGATCTCCAGGGTTATTTCTGTCACCAAGGCCAAATTTTCCAACTACCAGTGATTCTTCTTTGTTTCCAACTTTTGCATTCCAGTCACCAGTGATAATTAACATATCTTGATTGCCTGTTCAGTCAATATCAGACTGTAGAAGTTGATAAAAATCTTCAATTTCCTCATCTTTGGCTTTGGTGGTTGGTGCATAAATTTGAATAATAGTCATATTAATGGGTCTTCCTTGTAGGCGTATGGATATTATCCTGTCACTGACAACATTGTATTTCAGGACAGATCTTTAAACATCCTTTGTGATGATGAATGCCATTCTTCTTCAGATTGTCATTCCCAGCACAGAAGATCACATGGTTGTCTGATTCAAAACAGCCAAAACTGGTCCATTTCAACTCACTAATGCCTGGGATATCAATCTTTATGTATTCCATTTCATTTTTGACAACTTCCAATTTTCCTAGATTCATACTTTGTACATTCCACGTTCCAATTATTAATGGATGTTTGCAGCTGTTTCTCAATTTGAGTAGTGCCATGTCAGAAAATAGAAGTCCCAAAAGCTTTACTTTATCCATATCATTAAGGTTAATTCTACTTTGATGAGGCAGCTCTTTCCCAGTCGTATTTTGAGTGCCTTCCAACCTAAGGGGCTCATCTTCCTCCACTGTATCAGACAGTGTTTCTGATCTATACAAAAATTTGCCCAGTAATGCAGCAGATAGTGTTTCTCTGCTGTTCATGAGGTTTTCCCTGGCCAGTTCTTTGAGAAGTGGCTGGCCTCTTCCTTCTTCCTAGTCTGTCTCAGTCTGTAAGCTACATTGAAACCTGTGCACCTTGTGCAACCCTGCTGGCATTTGAAACACTGGTGGCATACCCCAACACAGAGTAGATCAGAGAATTTGGCCCAATAGTGATTCTCCTGGGTAGGGCATCTCCACAGAGAACACATGTCCTAGTATCTATCAGGACTTTTTTTTTCCTTTATGGCTGAGTAATATTCCATCGTATGTACAAACCACACTTTGTTTATCCATCATTATTTGATGGCCACATGGGTTGCTTCCACCTTTGGGCTATTGTAAATAGGGCTGCTGTGAACATTGGAGTACAAGCATTTGTTTGAGTCTCTGCATTCAAGTCTTTTGGGGATGTGCCCAGCAGTGGAATTTCTATCTCTGAAAATGAGCTTGGGGAGAAAGGTGTCACATGTCCTGTGGATAGAAGAACTCACAGACCACAGGCCCCACAGGATGCCTTACCTCACCTAAAGGTGTCCCCACAGACCTGGAGGTCCAGGAAAGAATCATTAACACTCATGCTATGTGAGACCAGACAAAATGATCAGACTCTACGGTGGCCAGAGCCATGTTAAGAATTCGTGTGGGCTCGGCCTGTTAAATCTTGAATGGGTAAATGGTATGAACATAGCTTATTCACCAAATGCTGGGATGTTTGAAAATAAGGAACATAATCTGACACATGGAAAAGGCATATAAGTGCACAAAAGGATGTTCAACATCATTAGTTATTGGAATGCAAATCAAACCCACAATGAGATACCACTTTACACTCACTGAAACCAAAAACCAAACTCGCCGCTGTTGAGTTGATCCTGAATCATAGCGACCCCTCCTTGGGTTTCCAAGGCCGTATCTCTACAGAAGTAGACTGCTCAACCTTCCTTCCCAGGAGTGGCTGGTGGGCCTGAACCACCAGCCTTCTGATTAGCAGTCAGATGCCTTAGGCATTATGCCACCAAAGCTCCCCTCACACTAACTAGAATGGCTTTTATAAAAAATGAAATGGAAGATCACAAGTATTGGTGGGGATATGGAGAAAGCAGAGGTGGCGTGCGATGCTGGGAGAATATAAAATGGTATAGCTGCCATGGAAAACAGCTTGGTGATTCTTCAAAAAGTTAAACCCAGAGTTACCATGTGGCCCAGCAATTCCACTCCTGGGCATAGACCCAAAAGACTGAAACAGAGACTCAAACAGATGCTTGTGTACCAGCGTTCACAGCAGCACCATTCACAACAGGCCAAAGGTGGAGACAGCCCAGGTATCCATCGACAGAGGAATGGATCAACACGATGTGGTCAGTATATACCAAGGAATATTACTCAGCCCTGAAGAGAAATGAAGTCCTGACACATACTAGGACATGGGTAAACCATGAAAACATGCTGAGTGAAATAAGCCTGATATGAAAGGACAGACATTCTAGATTCCACTTCCATGAAATATTTAGAATAGACAAATTCATAGGGACAGAAAGCAGATTAGAGTTGATGAGGGGCTGTGGGACGGAAGGTTGGGCGATCTACTTCCATAGAGATTCTGCCTCGGAAACCCAAGGAGGGGTCACTATGAGTCACAGTCGACTCAACGGCAGTGAGTTTGGTGGGAGGGAGAATGGAGAATCACTGATTAATGGGCACCGAGTAGATAGCGGTGAAGGTTGTCCAACATTGTGAAGGTAATTAACGGCAATGAATTTACACTTAAAAATGGCAAGTTTTATGTTGTGTATATTTTAACACAAGAAAACTTTTTGAAAACACAAAATTCAGGACAAATCAAGGGCAGGACCATGTGGCTTTGCATGCTGAGAAGTAGGGAGGCCATCTATCCCGGGACGTCTACCATGGTCTTCACGTACACTCTTTCCAGGGACAGTCGTTAATAACACCCCTTTTACTTTTAAAGGAGTCTGGGTGGCATTCAGGGCTAAGTGCTCAACCACTAACTGAAAGGTTGGTGGTTCGAACTCCCCCAGAGGCACCTTGGAAGCAAGGCCACAGCCTTGAAAACCCTGTGGGGCACTTGTACCCTGCACATGCAGCCACGAGGCAGCACTGACTCAGCGGCAACTGTTTGGATTTGTTTTGTTTGTTGACTTTCAAATGTGCTCTGTGGTGGATAAGACATCATAAACTCATCCCGCCGACAGCACACTCTACCTGGAGAGAGAGATTGGCCAACCAGGTTCAAATGAGGTTTAGATCAATTCACAGGGAAAGACCTGGCATGGGTCATCTGGGCTGATTTCCCTTGTCCAAGTTCTATTTGGAGTTCCTGGGTGATGCAAACAGTTAACATGCTTGGCTGCTGACAGAAAGGTCGGCAGTTCGAACCCACTCAGTGGCACCTTGGAAGAAAGGCCAACGATCTGCTTTCATAAAGATGACAGCCTAGGAACCCTATGGGGGCAGTTCCACTCTGTCCCACGGGGTTGGTATGAGTCGGAATTGACTTGCTGGCACACCGCTGGAAACTCATGTTCTGTTTGAAGTCCCTGGGAGGCACAAACAGTTAACATGTTTGCCTGCTAACCAAAAGGTTGGTGGTTCGAGTCCTCCTTGGAAAAAAGGGCTAGAGATCCCCTTCTGAAAAACCAGCCATTGGAAACCCTATGGGGCCCAGTTCTACCCTGACACCCATGGGGTCACCGTGAGTCCGAAGCAGCCTGACAGCAACCAGTATGTTCTGAGTATGCTCTGAAGGCATGAAGGGCAACCTGCCCCATTGTAGCACGCCCTTGGGTGCAGCAGTGGGAGATGGCTGAGACACCCAGGACCTGGCCCAGTTGACCAACGTCCTTCCACTGAAGACAGGCACTTTCAGGCTAGCACAGTGGCCCCTCGGGCAACCTTGGGGCCTTCTTAAGGAGCATTGTCTATATCGCGTGGCACCTCTTTCAGGGCCCCCAAAACATACAAACACACGTAGCAGTCCTAGTCTTGTAGTTACTTTCAGAGCAATTCAACTTGCAGCAATCACACCAATCAAACGGCAGCAGAATGGGGCTTCCCTCTTACCCGCACAGGGGTCCGTATAGCCTTCGGAGCTCCAGCTGGCCTTCCCAGAAACCCTGCAGAAAAACAGCACCGCGTAAGAAGAGGGAGGGAGCACAGTTTCAGTTATTCAGACAGTCTGACAGTAGTCTGCACGAGTGTGAACACAACTACATAAACAATAATTTAAAAAAAAACTGAAGTGATACTGTTTTCAAGAAGTTCGGAGTATTAGAATAAACTAACAGCTTTTGAAAAATATTGCTGAGTAGAAGTCTTGGTCCCCTCTGCTTTAACGGACAGAAGAGGTTGTCTGTACCCAAATGATTTGTGTCTAGTGACTATGAGAATATTTGAGAAGGGGTTGCTTGCTCAACAATGTTGACATTCCCCTCTGCAGTTTGGTTTATGTTACGGTTTTTTGGCAAGTCTCTTTTCCCAGCCATTACATGTGTACACTTCTACTGAGTCTATCCAAATGATTGCAAAATCTGAACTATCATCATCCAAGCTGAATTTTAACTAGAATGAAAATATCTAAAATGTTAAGAAGCTTAGAGTACCTTTATATGGGATGAAGCACTAGACACAGTTTGCAGCGGAAAGGGCTCTTCCTGGAGATATGCATGGGGTGGGGTCGGGGTGGAGGGTCAGAGAATACTAGAAACATTGTGTCATGGTGAGGCAGTTCCACCCAGATATGGATGGGTGGCCTGGGAGTTGGAAAGATGCTAGATCCATTGTGTGGCAGGGATGGAGTTGTGTCGTGGGGAGCAGATAGACATGGGGGAGTTGTGTGGGTGGAGGGCTGGAAAATGGTAGACCCGTTGGATCGTGGAAATGGAGTCCATTGGCAGATATGGATGGGTGGAGCAGGAGGGAAGGATGAGAAAATGCTTGACCCATTGTGTTGTAGGGAGGGCATTGTGTTGTGGGGGTGGACTATATGTGCAGATATGTATGGGTTGGGGTGGGAGGTGGAGGGTTGGAAAATGCTAGACTCCTTATTTATGGAAATGGTATATCTGGGCAGATATACAAGGGGTGGGTGAGGGTGGAGAGTTGGGGTGGAAGACTGACACTTTGAAGTGGACAGATACCCTATTCTCATAAATCCACTGAATCTCACAGTGTAAGCAGGCCATACAGCAGGGAGAGGCTCCAGGAAGATAAGGATAGTCGTTGACATGATGGTGTTCTAGAAAGATCTTGGCAGGGTTTGTGCATACAAAGATGGTGAGCAGAAAAGGAGCATGGGTGGAGCCCATGCAGCGGCAGGGGTGTGGCGTGCCCGCACGTGCACAGTTACACGGTCTCCCTCAGCTCACTGATACGGGACCAGGTTAATTACTCCCCTGAGTAATTAACAACTGATCCTTTCCCCCAGAAACATGTGGCCCTTGTGTTCTCTAATTCCCTATCTGGGGCGTTGCTCTGCTTGGACGCTTCACAGTTACCTCAGAGATCTCCCGGGAAGCTTGATAACCTGCTGTCTGTGGACCTGACCTCCCCCCTCCACCCCTGCCCGAGAGCGAGAGCGAGAGCGAGATGAGAGGAGAAGGTGTTTAAACTGCTGGGAGAGGGAACAGTAGCAACAATCAAGAGTGGGAAAGACCAGGGAGCTGAGGGAGAAAGGGACGGGAAGGACTCGCAGAGCCAGAAATAGCCAACAGGACTGTTATCTGGGCCAAGGCCAGCCTTTCCGGGGCAAGGTGGGGAGACTGTAAACAAATATTATGAGATTAGGCTCAAATTAGTCCTTCTGCCTTCCTTCCTTCAGTGGGGTCTGGTGGCAGCGACCCCCTGAGTTAGAATAAACCAACTGCCCCACTGAAAACCCAATATAAGAAAAATAACCACGGATGACACAGGCCTGGGCCTGGGTCTAAAATGCCTGTGGGACGTGTCAGCTGCCTGTCACTCTGGGAACTCAAGGCAACACACACGAAGCTAAACGCCATCCACCATCGAAGCTTCTCCCTGACCCAGCTTCCCTCCTGACCTTCATCCCACCACAAAACTTAGACCCTGCTGGACTCATTATGCCTTGAATTCTTGACCCCCTGTTGGAGCACAGGCTTCCTGAGTAGTACAAACAGTGAAGTGTTCAGCTGCTCAGCGGAAGGCTGGAGGTTCGAGTGCCCCCAGGGGCACCTCAGAAGACAAGCCTGGCAGACTGCTTCTGAAAAACAGCCATTGAAAACCCCACGGAGCACAGTTCCACTCTGCCCTCCATGGGCTACTGTGAGTCACATCTGGTTGGTTCTGGGAACTGGTCACAGCTATTAGCTGTGCCCCGCAATGTGCTTTTCTCTGCCACTGGGCCGCGCCCTCCTCAGTCCCACAGAGATCTCAACACCGACGAGGTCCAATCCGCACACAGAGAACCAGCTCATCCTTCTTCTTCCATAGCCCTCCACTGTACGTGAATAACTTCCTCTGGTCTCTCGGGACGTCCCTGGATGACACCGATGTCCGCACTCTGCTACCAACCGAAAGGTTGGCTGTTCGAAGCTAACCAGTGATGCCATGGAAGAAAGGCCTAGCCATCTGCTCCCGGAAAGATTCCAGCCAAGAAAACCCCATGGGGCAGTTCTACTGTGTAACACACGGTGCTGCCATGGTCCGGATTTAACTCACAACAACAACATTGTTTTCGTTTTTGTTTCTTTGGTTTGTCTTTCTGGGCTGTCAGCAATCCTGCCCAGTGCTCTCTGTCCCAGAGATGGTGGAGGGGTGGATGGGAGGTGGATGGATAGTGGATGAGTGGGTGGATTGTTGAGTAGATGGTAGATGCACGAAAGGTGTATAGATGTTAACTGAATGGTGGATGGATGGATGGTGGAGGGGTGGATGGAAGATGGATGGATGGTGGATGAGTGGATGGATGGTTGGATGGATGGTAGATGGATGAATGGTCGATGGATGTTAGATGAAAGGTGGATGGATGGATGGTGGATGGGTAGTGAATGGTGGATGGACGATGGATGGTGGATGGATGGATGATGGATGGAT